CTTGAGCTGTTTCCTTGATAATTTAGTCAAAGGAAGACAAGACTTCTTTCTGTTCATATCCAGGTCCTAACTCCTGGCCCTTGTTACACTCCTGGTAATGCTGTAAAACTTTACTATGGACCACAGTTCCAAGGACCCCCAAACACAGTCATGGAATGAAGCTTGTGAACAACCCACGCCTCCCATCAATGCTGGCAATGTGCAGAGCATAACAAAGGAAAACAGAAAGCTGACATGCTTGCCACTCCAAAATAGTTTGTCCTATTGGAGAAAGAGGCTCATATCCCACCTGGATGAGCACTTTCATGTGCATGAGTCACTGGGACAGGATGGTGAGACCGGAGTTCAGGAGCACCTGACTGGCAAGCAGCATCTGCCGTGACGACACCTGTATTAGTCTGTTTTCATGCTGCTGATAAAGACATACCTGAGACTGGGAAGAAAAGAGTTAATTGGACTTACAGTTCCACATGGCTGGGAATGCCTCAGAATCATGGCGGGAGCTGAAAGGCACTTCTTACACGGCAAGGGCCAGAGAAAATAAGGAAGAAGCAAAAGAGGAAAGCCCTGATAACCCGATCAGATCTCATGAGACTTATTTACTATCACGAGAATAGAATGAGAAAGACCTGCAGCCATGACTCAATTACCTCCCCTGGGTCCCTCCCACAACACTTGGGAATTCTAGGAAATACAAATCAAGTGAGATTTCAGGGTGGACACAGCCAAACCATATCAGCACCTGTGGATAGACAGACCCAGTATGCATATGCATTTTTTTTTTTTTTTTTTGAGACAGAGTCTCACACTGTCGCCCAGGCTTGGGTGCATTGGCTTGATCTCAGCTCACTGCAGCCTCCCCCTCCTGGATTCAAGTGATCCTCCCACCTCAACCTCCTGGGATTACAAGCACATGCCACCATACCCTGCTAATTTTCGTATTTTTGGTAGAGATGGGGTTTGGCCATGTTGGCCAGGCTGCTCTTGAACTCCTGACCTCAAGTGATCTGCCCACCTGAGCCTCCCAAAGTGCTAGGATTACAGGCATGAGCCACTGCATCTGGCCCCAGGATGCATTTTGAAAGGCTGGATTTGGGACAATTTCTGAAACTATGCAGCAAGATGACACTGTCAACTTACATGTCCAAGAGTAGTGGAATGAGCAAGATGTGAGAGATCTCATAGATATGCCATAGGATGCTGATAATAAAATAGCCTTTTTGTTTTTTCTTTTGAGACGGAGTCTCCCTTTGTCACCCAGGCTGGAGTGCCCTGGTGTGATCTTGGCTCTCTGCAACCTCCACCTTGTGGGTTCAAGCAATTATCCTGCCACTACAGGCCCGCGCCCCCACGCCTGGCTAATTTTTGTATTTTTAGTAGAGATGGGGTTTCACCATGTTGCCCAGGCTACTCTGGAACTCCTGATCTCAAGTGATCCACCCATCTTGGCCTCCCAAAGTGCTAGGATTACAGGTATGTGTCACTGTGCTTGTCCCCCATTACAGTTTTTTTTTTTCTTCTTCTTTTTTTTTTCTTTTTATGATGGAGTCTCTGTCTGTTGCTAGGCTGGAGTGCAGTTGTGCAATCTTGGCTCACTGCAACCCCCACTTCCCAGGTTCAAGTGAGTCTCTTGCCTCAGCCTCCCAAGTAGCTGGGACTACAGGCACCATGCCCAGCTAAATTTTGTATTTTTAAGTATGGATGGGGTTTCACCATGTTGGCCAGGATGATCTCGATCTCTTAACCTCATGATCTGCCCGCCTTGGCGTCCCAAAGTTCTGGGATTGCAGGCGTGAGCCTCCGCTCCTGGCCCCCCCATTACAGTTTTTAAATGAACAGAGAGCACAAGAAAATTTACCAAAATATTGACAATGCTGCCTCTGGACGATGGGATTCATATGTTTGTTGCCTTCTAAAGTTTCTCCCATGTATGGCTTTTAGAAACAGTAACCACTCCCTACCTCCACATGCATAAGTGATTGGCTCCAGGCCAAACACACAGAGCAGTTACATCTGGCTGGTGCTAGGATGGAAGCAGGGCCAGGTCACCACCTCCCAGGGACTGAGTGCCAAAGCAAGGAGGAAGATCGGAGGAGTCCCCAGGTGAGGCTGTAGGGAGATAGCCACAGGCTCAAAAGGCTTGTGCTAAGCTTTCTAGGGGGAAGCTTAATCTGCCTGGGAAGCTTCCAGCTTCTACCTCCTGCAGAGCCCAGAATGGTGTCCAGGAAATATGTGGCCATTGAGTGGGACCAGTGTTGGCATGGTGGCCTGAAGGAACCCACAGGCTAGAGACATGCCACATGAGGGGTGAGGATCTTTCCAGAGATAAAGATCCCCAGAACATAGTGTGGGGTGCAGGTCTGGCCCTCTGCATACCCTTGGCTTCCTCCATCATTTATTCCTAGAGATCTAAACCATCAACATTCAGACTGGGGATCCTAGGAGGGTCTATATTGTCAAGAGGGGGCAAGTCCAATCCAGGATCAAGTTACCCATGGTTTCCCACTTTCCCTGTCTACCTTTCCAGGTCACCTATCCAGACTCTCACCAGGGATCACTGCCCTGGGTGTCATCAACCCAATGCAGGGACAAGTAGAAAAAGAGCTTTGGGGAAAATATCAAAGGGAGTAGTCAGTCACTCAATTTTATTGTGATGACAAACTCTTGGCAAAGTTCTGGGCCTCTCTCTGTCTGTGTTTGTGAATTATGTGTCTGTGGCTCCATCGACCACAGTGCAGAAGGGGAGAGCTGTCCTAAGGACCCTACTTACATGTTCTCTTTTTTTTTTTTGAGACAGAGTTCACTCTTGCTGCCCAGGCTGCAATGCAATGGCATGATCTCAGCTCACTACAACCTCCACCTCCTGGGTTCAAGCGATTCTCCTGCCTCAGCCTCCTGAGTAGCTGAGATTACAGGCATACACCACCATGCCCAGCTACTTTTGTATTTTCAGTAGAGACGGGCTATCACCACGTTGGTCAGGCTGGTCTAGAACTCCTGACCTCAAGTGTGAGCCACCGCACCTGGCCTAACATGTTCTCTTGATTTGCACAAGATATCCACCCTATTATTCCAAAAGCACCAGAAAATCTAACTTGCCAGAGGGTTTGACGGTGAGGACTGGCTTTGTCAATAAGGTTATGAGACCAATATTTCTCATAAATTTAATGAACATAATCTGCAGGGCCAAGAATCTAACAAAACATATCTGAAGCCCACATAGAATATAATATGCACCAGCAGTCATACTCTAAAAATGATTCACAGAGAAATATTTTATTTTTTCACTTTGTTTTTTTTTGAGACGGAATCTCGCTCTTGTCGCCCAGGCTGGAGTACAGTGGTACGATCTTGGCTCACTGCAACTTCTGCCTCCCAGGTTCAAGCTATTCTCCTGCCTCAACCTCCTGAGTAGCTGGGATTATAGGTGCCTACCACCATGCATAGCGGCTAATTTTTGTACTTCTAAGTAGAGATGGGGTTTCACCATGTTGGCCAAGTTGGTCTCGAACTCCTGACCTCAGGTGATCCGCCTGCCTCAGCCTCCCAGTGTTGGAGTTATAGGCATGAGCCACCTATTTTTTCACTTTTATTTATTGTTTAGAGTCAAGCTCTTGCTCTGTTTCCCAGGCTAGAATGCAGTGGCACAATCATAGCTCTCTGCAGCCTTGAACTCCTAGGCTCAAGCAATCCTCCCATCTCAGCGTCCTGAGTAGCTGGGATTACAGGCATGCACCGCCACACCTGGCTAATAATAATAACACTTTAGGGCCTGGCGCAGTGGCTCATTTCTATAATCCCAACACTTTGGGAGGCCAAGGCTGGTGAATCAATCACCTGTGGTCAGGAGTTTGAGACCAGCGTGACCAATGTGGTGAAAACCCATCTCTACTAAAAGTACAAAAATTAGCTGGTGTGGTGGTGGGCACCTGTAATCCTAGCTACTCAGGAGGCTGAGGCAGGAGAATAGCTTGAACCAGGGAGGTGGAGGTTGCAGTGAGCCGAGATCACACCACTGCACTCCAGCCTGGGGAACAAGAGCAAAACTCCATCTCAATTAATAATAATAATAATTTTGGGAGTATTAGAGCAGAAAATGTTTGAAAACGTGAACAGCTCTCACATCAACACAAGACCCGAAACCCTCGTCCATCTGGTGCTTGTGGACCACTTGGGCTCCAGATTTTCCTCACCTCATGTGCCTCCCCAGGGTAGCAGATGAAGTCCCCATAGTTCTGATGAGACAGAACCTTTACCTTCTTGGGAGCCGTGGTGGCTCCGGCCAGTTGTCCTGGCACTTGAGGAGGCAAAGCTATGAGTTCAAGGCCAACCTGAGCAACATAAGCTCTCATTGATTTAAAAAAAAAAAAGAACCTTTACATTCCTAAAAGTATACTCAGGCCTCCATAACCCCTCATCCCACTTTCAGTTCGCTCACCTTCATCTAACAAGTTTGTCTAACGTCTGGCCTCCTAGGCCAGCTAGGCTGAGATCTGGGACATGGCTGCTGGTCAAAGGGGAAAGCCCATGTCTAAAAATTAATAAACGTGGTTTAGGGTCCTCACACCCCCAAACCCAAAATACAGCCATTGGTGGGATGTGAGATTCAAAAAAATCAAATAGCATAGTGGTGATGAGAGTCCATCTGGTCACTCTTCGGATGCGGTGCTAGCAAGCAGTCGCTGGAAAGCAGAGCCCAGATCACGTTGCACTGGCACAGTACCTGGCACACAGTAGGTACCCACACATATTTGATAAACACTCTTCCTAGGATTACTATAGATAGTTGGCAGCTTGGCTCGGCATCCCGGTTGGGGTCTGGATCTAGGGTCGCAGAAAATGCAGTCGGTCAGGCGCAGCCTGCCGCGGGAGTGCCTGCCCTGTCCGCCAGCTGCACTGGAATAGGGTCGTGTGGCTCCCAGCCAGACGGAACTGAAACAGCCTCGCCTTTGGCGGTGAACTCCATTTTCCACAGGCCTGTGCGCGCGACTCCATTTCCCACAACCCCCCCTTCACTTCCGGCGCCGCCGAGGCGCCGTGGACGGCTTCCGGGTTTGGGCCTGGCACTGTGGCTGAGGCGGCGGCGGCGGCGGCGGCGGCGGCGGCGGAGGAGGAGGAGGAGAGGGCTACGGGCGGCGGGAGCTGGGGAGCAGGCATGGATGTTTCAGGGCAGGAGACCGACTGGCGGAGCACCGCCTTCCGGCAGAAGCTGGTCAGTCAAATGTGAGTAGTGGTCGGCACAGGGGGCCGGATTGCCGGGCCTTCCTCCTTCGTGTGGCGGGCGAGGCCAGGGCCGGACCCGTGAGAGACTTAGGGCGCCGGGGACCCGCGTGGGTCCCAGGGCGCGGGGCTCCGCTGTCTGTTCCCTCCGTTCCCGACATGGACTGCTCTTTAACTTTCCTGGGCCGAGCTGTGCAAAGCAACGAGCCCTGGGTTATGAATCATCGCCCTGAGCTTTCTCATTCGTCATTTGTGTGCTCTGGATGCAGACTTTCCTCCGCTTTTTGAAGCTCACTGAATAAGGAAAGGGAGAGAGGCAGCCGCCTGTAGTGAGTTTAGCAGGGCTGGGTGCTTCACGGTTTCTCTTCCAGAAAAGCGCATCAATAGTGAGAGAAAGTGATGAGAGGAGGGTGGATGGAAGGTGAGATCGGGGGTGGGACGGAGGATCTAAGGGTCACCCCCACACACAAGGAATGTGGACTTTGCCAAAGGATGGCAGGAAGCCTGTGTCAGGAAGCGATCATCGTTTCTGGATGAAGGAGTGAAGAGCTGGGGTCAGGGGCCCCGCCCAGAGGAACTCCAGCCCCTTGCCACGGACCGCTTGTTTATTTTATCAGTTTTGAACTGAGCTTACTGGCGTGTTGTGCTCGCCACAGATTCGCCCGAGACACAGCTCCTTCCTGAGGGATTGCATCGTCGGTAAAGGAACAGTCGTTGTGCAGTCTTGTCAGTCTGTAATGTGTATACCGCAGGGGCTTCTTGCGAAGCGGCGGTTAACTTGAGCAGACCCAGGGGCAGTCTAGTGAGTAGGTGAGAATAAATTGAGTCCTAGAAAGACAAGTAGGAGTGTGAATAGCCACCATTTCAAGCTGAGGAATCAGGAAACACGAGCATCTACTGTGTGGAGGGAGGAACTTGTAGGCTGAGAGTTCTGGAGCTTCAGGAGTAAGGGAGCTCAGGAGATAAGGGAATGAGGGTGAACAGATACTAGCACTTTAGTGGGGTGGGGGGTAGGTTGTGCCAAGGAGTTGAGCCTGTGTTTGACATGTGGCATTCTTTGAGGTAGTGAAATGCCAGTGTTGGGAATATCTCTACAGTCCCTGGAGATAGATAAAGGACAGAGAAGGGAGACCACTTAAGCCATTAAGAGAGTTTGAACATTTGGAGGGAGTGGCGAACCTGTCCTTTTTCATCCTTGTATTCCCAGGACTAGCTCACTGCCTGCCACATTGCTCCATAAAATGGTTGTGGAATGATCTAGTCAGGCGGGAGATTATAAAGGCCAGCATTAGATAGTGGTAGAAACTGAAAGAGGAAGACAGATTCCAGAGGAAGGGGAATGTAGACAATTCTTGATGACTAACTGAATGGAGGGAGGTTGGGTGTGGGGTGGTAAAGCATTGTGGAAGGAAGGAAACCAGGCTGAATGCTGGGAAGCCTTGCAGTACAGTGGAAGGAGTAGAGACTGTAGAGTTATGAGCTCTGGGCTTTGGGAAGAATAGCCTTGGGATATTTCTGGGGATGCTGCACAATCAGTGAACAGTGTTTTACTGATGCACTATAGTTATCTATAGGTGAAATCTTGAGAGATAACTCACTTCAGGGTTCCTGCAAGAAAAGCCCCCAGGGCAAGGGTTCTTTGGGAAAGCCCAGAATTTAAGAACTGGAAGGGTGAGTTGTCATCAAAGAAAATAGGGGCAGGGGAAGTGTTAGAGGGCTGAGGGGGTGACTGAAGGTTTTATAGGGGTTGAGAGTGACTGGATATTTTATAATTTAGCTTTATTTTGCTTCCAGGTGAATTCAGTCTCTCTCTTTTTTTTTTTTTTTGAAATTACTGTTGTGTATTTCCTTATTGCTGCTCTAACAAATTACCACAAGTTTGGCATCTTAAAACAACACACATTTGGCCAGGGAGGTGGCTCATGCCTGTAATCCCAGCACTTTGAGAGGCTGAGGTGGGCAGATCACAAGCTCAAGAGATCGAGACCATCCTGGCCAACATGGTGAAAGCCCATCTCTACTAAAAATACAATAATTAGCCGAGAGTGGTGGCAGGCTCCTGTAATCCCAGCTACTCAGGAGGCTGAGGCAGAAGAATCACTTGAACCCAGGAGGCGGAGGTTGCAATGAGCTGAGATCATGCCACTGTACTCCAACCTGGTGACACAGCGAGACTCTGTCTCAAACAAACAACAACAACAAAAACCCCAAAAAACAACACACATTTTTCATCTGATAGTTTCTGTAGGTCAGAGATCCTCTGTTTAGGGCCTAACGAGGCTGAGATCAAGACGTTGGCAGGGTGCATTTCTTACCGGAGGCCCTGGGGTGGAACCTGCTTGCAAGCCCATTTATGCTATTGGACGTATTCAGTTCCTTGTGCTTGGAGGACTGAGGTGCCCTTTTCTTACTGGCTGTTAGCCAGTAGTCAGTCTTTGTCCCCAGAAGCTCCCCTGTTCCTTCTCATGCTTTCTACGTGTGTTCCTCCAGCCAGGGCCAGTTCTTCTGCCACATCTCTCTGATTTCAGCTGGAGAAACTATCCTGCTTTTCAGGGCTCCAATTAGTGCATCTGGAGAAGCCAGGGTAATCTCTTTATTTTAAAGTTTGTAATTTAAATTACATCTGCAGAATTCATTTTGCCATATAATGTAGCATACTCACAGGTTCTAGGGATTAGGGACAAGAGGGGCATTCTCCTACCACAGCCGGGAGGAGCACTTTCAAAGGTTGCTTTTTCCAGGTGATGTGGGTGTGCAGTGTGGGTGTTGGAAGTTCTCAGATTTGTTTTCTCTCTAGGGTTCACTTTCCCTCCAGGGTTTACTTTGAAAGTTGTGATTCTTGGTGACTTGATTTATTGTGCTCATAGGGTTAAGGAAAGATTTGATTTAAAAATCGATTTGCATTAGAATTCTGGACATATCTTTAACTCTTAAATTGCTCCTCTCTTTTTACACTGTTGTTTAAACTTGGCCATTTTAGGAAATGCTTTGTACCCAAGTAATTTATAGTTGATGAAGGGATAGAGGAAGTATCTTGGCCAGGCACCGCAGCTCACACCTGTAATCCCAGCACTGTAGAAGGTTGAGGTCTGGGATTACTTGAGTCCAGGAGTTCGAGACCAGCCTAGACAACATTAAAAAAATACAAAAATTAGCTAGGTGTATGGTGGCATGCACCTGTAGAAGCTGAGGTGGTAGGAATCATTTGAGCCTGGGAAGTCGAGGCTGCAGTGAGCTATGATCACACCACTGTACTCCAACTTGGGCCATAGAGCGAGACCCCGTCTCCAAAAACAGAATGAATGAGGCCAGGCGTGGTGGCTCACGCCTGTAATCCCAGCACTTTGGGAGGCCGAGGTGGGCGGATCACGAGGTCAGGTGATTGAGACCATCCTGGCCAACATGGTGAAACCTTGTTTCTACTAAAATACAAAAGTTAGCTGGGCGTGGTGATTAGTGCCTGTAGTCCCAGCTATTTGGGAGGCTGAGGCAGAGGAATTGCTTGAACCCAGGAGGCAGAGGTTGCAGTGAGCTGAGATTGCACCACTGCACTCCAACTTGGCGACAGAGCAAGACTCCATCTCAGGAAAAAAAAAAAAAATAGAAATCATGTTAAGTTTTGACAGAGGAGAAAGCATCTGATGGTTAGTTCTCTGTCTCTACCGAGAGCCTAGGGAACAATGCCCTAGAGCATGATCTAATATATAGTCTAGTATCCTGGCTTCCACTGAGAGAAAGGGATTTTGAGTTGAGGCTGGCTATGACTAGACAGCCATTGCAGGGACTCTCCTATTCAGCCTCTTAGCCCTCCACTGCCTCCACCTCATCTGGGCTGTGTGGTCTTCCGCTCTCTTCCCAGTGTCATCCTTCTTCCCCCAACAGCACAAGTGAGGGTGAGGCCTAAAGTAAAGCCACTGTCTTGCTGCAAAAGAATCAGTGACTTCTGTTAGCATTAGAAGAAAACTCCAGATGTCCCATTCTCCCAGCCCCTCACCCTGACCTGGTGTAGTCACCTCTTCTACCCAACCCTGTTCTCACCTCTCTGGTCTTTCAGCTTCCTGAACATTCTAAGCTTCTTTTTTTGGGGGACGGAGTTTCACTGTTGTTACCCAGACTGGAGTGCAATGGCATGATCTCGGCTCACCGCAACCTCCACCTTCTGGGTTCAAGCAATTCTCCTGCCTCAGCCTCCCGAGTAGCTGGGACTACAGGTGCCCACCACCATGCCCAGCTAATTTTTGAATTTTTAGTAGAGACGGGGTTTCACCTTGTTGACCAGGATGGTCTCAATCTCTTGACCTCATGATCCACCCGCCTTGGCCTCCCAAAGTGCTGGGATTATAGGCGTGAGCCACCGCACCCGGCCGGCTCTTTTTTTTTTTTGAGACAGGATCTTGCTCTGTGACCCAGGTTAGAGTGCAGTGGCATGATTATAGCTCACTGTGGCCCTGACCTCCCAGGCTTGAACCATCCTTCCACCTCAGCCTTCTGAGTAGCTGGGACTACAGGCACACACTACCGTCACTACTATGCCTGACTAATTTATATATTTTTTGTAGAGATGAGATTTCACCATGTTGTCCAGGCTGGTCTTGAACTCCTGGTTCAGGTGATCCTCCCTACTCAGCCTTCCAAAGCGCTGGGATTGCAGGTGTGAGCCACCGTGCCTGGCCCCCAAACTCTTTCTTTTTAACCTATTTATTATCAAGTGTTTAAGGTATTCAAAAATGAGTAGACTCCTTCCCCCCATGACTATATTCATGACTAGCTCCTTCTCCTTTTAAGTGTCTGCTCAGTATCAGGTACTCAGAGGATGCATCCCTGCTTGAGCTTGCCTAAAGTGGGTCACCACCTCTAATATGTTGTTGTTTTTTTTTCCTTGTTGCCCAGGCTGCAGTACAATGGCACGATCTTGGCTCACTGCAACCTCCCCCTGCTGGGTTCCAGCGATTCTCTGCCTTAGCCTCTCGAGTAGCTGGGATTATAGGCACAGTCCACCACTC